GTCACCTGTGATGAAAATGGATCATGTATGATAACAGGAGACGTTCCGGACAGTGGTTGGATTTCGACGAACCACCGAGGTAATTTTCAAAGCCGAACCCTCACGAAAAAAGATTCTGGTCACGGTTTGGTGGTCATCGGCTGGTGTGATCCACTATAACTTTTTACCAGGCCAAACCATCACAGCAGAACCCTACTGTGAAGGAATCGACGAAATGTACCGAAAATTTTGTCAGCTGCAGCCAACACTTATCAAAAGAAAGGGTCCGATTCTTTTGCATGACAACGCCCGCCCACACGTTTCACAAATCACTATCCATAAATTGAACGAATTGGGTTGAAGTTCTACCTCAACCGCCATATTCTTCAGACCTTTCGCCAATCGACTATCACCTTTTCAAACATTTTCAGAACTCCCTTGCTGGAAAATACTTCATCAATCAGGACCAGGCAAAAAAGCCTTCGTGGATTTCGTGGATTCTCGACCACCCAGTTTTTTTTTGGTGGGATTTGTCGACTGTCTTCACATTGGCAAAAGTGTGCTGATTCGAATGGTGCTTATTTGGATTAAATCCGATGAGTGTTAAGAAAGTTATGATCGTTAAAGTGAAACACTCGAAACGTGCAGAACTTTCCGGACAACCTAATAGTATAGTCGAGCTACCGTAATCTGAGTCGTCGAATGGGGTGATCGTTGGAATCGCGGCGTTTACTATGAATAAGGTCCTGTTTAGTTTTGCTCACAATCAGAGTGCACGTCTTTGACTGTGCCTTAGTCATATACTTTGATCCAAAATTTTCAGCTTTTCGACGATTAATTTACTTACAAAAACATGAAAAGCGCTGCACAGGTGGATTAAAGAAGAGGAAGGTTGGAGCTTTGAACAGATCGGCATTGATATTAGTTGCCAACTCATCCTCAGATTAACGACAATGATTTCAGTATGAACGGCGAATTTCATCTGCTCGTTGGAAACGAAGGGGTCGTGCCAGCAACGAAACTTCGCTGGAGGGGTCGGACCACAGGAAAAAGTCATCGCAAGAGCTGAAAAAATGTGTTGTCAAAGACGAGCCAGTGAGTGTTACATGGTAAAGGCCATTGTTTTGTCTGAAAAATTTCTCATTTTCACCGTAACCCAGCTGTGTGATAGTCTACAGTACGCGCTAGCAATGCTTAGCCTGCCGATCACGAGATTCGAAGGCACATCATATGTTCTACCTTGAGGCTGTACCCTTCCGTAGGTGAGGTGGCAGGTCCACAGCTATGAAATGGTACCTCATCTAAGACTTGTAAGTATGTGAAGGAGGAGAAGCTGGAGAGCTGTGATAGCTGAATATTTTCGCTACGGGACAATAGCGATTTTGTCTCGGAGTCAACCCGTAGGAAACAATGACACCTTTTCAAACAAAAAAATACATATAGCTGCGATCACCCAAAGCATATGGTTGGTCTTGCGGCGCTGATTTTTTTGATGGAGGGTGGAGACGTCAAAAAAAGCATCACCCCATATATATAATTCGCTTCGTCTGTTTGTTTGTAAGTTTGTTTGTAAGTTTGTTTGTAAGTTTGTAAGTTTGTTTGTA